CCATTTCTTCCTGAGACGTTCCGTGATCCCGATCTCCTTCATGTGACGTATACTGTAAAGGTTTGCAGACATGAGTGTAAAATATCAGAGTATTAAGGGTCGGTTCGTGAAAGATGTCTCGTGTATAATGGTAGAATAACAAAAGCCGTATTCTATAAAAAGTATAGAATATGTAAAACGGTAGGAAGCTAATTGAATAAGCTCAAGTACAAAGTCCTAGTTCGAGCTGACGTAGTAGTTTTTCCTGGAAAAGTCGTCTGCAACTGAAAAATGGTTACCATTGTGTTGTAATTTTTTTTCTTAAATGGTGATGAACAAAACATACAGTAAAAATCAAAAATCGGGGCACTGCCGTTTATTTTGTTTCACCTTTTTGGAGGATTGCTTTAATGTATTATTCAGTGCTGTGCATTCTCACATAAAACCACTCAGCTATTAACTCTTACGTGGAAGGAACACAACATTGCATCTGAGCACCAATTAACTGATTAATTAATAAACGGATCATTTGGCTGTTTCTCAACTGGTACTCACTGCAGACAATAGTTTATATACCACACGGTATGACAAACTAAAATAGTATCCATTCATTCTTATCCTTACGTGACCAACAGGACAGTGCCAGACTGATGTTGATCTCCTAATAGGGGTTTTCGATGCTTCGTTGCCATGGCTTCTGTAAATCTTTGCGGCTGTGCCCTCGGGGTAGGAAGAAAAACCCGAAACGAAGCCCCACGATCGGCTCGGTGGCCAGTCTACAGCAGATGGAGAGCAGGTTTTCGGTGTGACTGGCATGACAGACTTGTTGTTTATGTGGCGCTCAATCTCATCCGCTCGCATTAGACCCATACCGGGATGTGTTCTGCCACTCGGGTACGCAGCTGTCCCTTTGTTCCATTTAAACAGGTACCCTTGCATCTACATGCGATTTGGCGGACAGCGGGAGTGGTGATATCACCAAGGCCTTTGCAATAAAATATGTGCGAGTCGCAGTCGCCACCAACCGTCTTCGTATGAGTTGGCCGACATAACCTTCCAAACTATAGAAACTATTTTCTTTATGCAGTAAGCACCAGTTGAGATGTAGCGAAATAATTCCGGAATTAAATGGTACTCGCTTGCAGGTGTTTTCTTTGTTCAAGTTTAATTCAGGAAAGAATTTTTTCAACTTCAATAAAGCTTAAAGACCCGTAACATTTTATTGATGGTGTACACAGAAACATTGGCAGAATACATTCCATATATCGTTACGTTTTCTATAATCAATCCATAGTCTTTCTTGATTTTGCAATCGTTAATAAGCTAAGTTTAAAACACTGGTTTACTTTATTTCAATTTAGCCTCAGGAAGCTCCTTGAAGTGCACAAATTTATCATTAAAAACAAGATAGAAACGTTAACCAATGTTACTAGTGTTTCTTCGAAAACGGGACAGAAAATATCATACGCAACGGCGTAAATCAGCGCTGCTCTTTCAAAGGTTCAGCGTTGATATATAAGTAAGATAATATAAAAACAACTGATTCTGACTTCCTGATTGATATTGTGCTCATTCAGATCTGTTTGTACCGTTCGAGGATGGTCTTTACGCATGAAACAACACCTCGCGAGCTGCGTTTAACGTTTACATTTCAGCATCACGTTATCATCGCCCATGCAACTTCATCTTTGAATAGAAAGCAACTGAAAGTCGACTTCTTCCCAAACTCCTCTTTGTACATATCAACACGAAACAATCGAGCACCCAAAACTGAAATGCACCATCAACCTTACTCTCACTCTCCAGAAACATTAAACTGATAACGTGATGTACACATATAATCACTTATTACACTCAACTGATATCATTCTTTAAACACCTTGAATCTTTTCTTTAAATATGAAGAACTACGGGATGCGCAGGTATAGGTGGAAACAATTCTTCGCCACATATTTCTTCTCAAATTAGTGTAGGTATATTTTCCAGCCGCTTAAATGTGTGCACTCATTATAGAAACATGGTCGTATGGATGAAAGTTACGAACAAGATAAAAAATATTTAGCTTATTAAAATTCCTTTTGTTCACCGGAGGTGAGGTTAGCTATGACGGTTTTAATATAAAAGGATGACAAACGGCACGAACGGTAAATTTAATAGGCAAAAAGATATGACGCTCGCATGCGTAACAAGCGAAAAAGAGAACAAAAAGAACAAAAGCTAGAGGACAAAAACAAGCTACACTGAATCGATTGTCACTTTTCAAAGTTGGCTCCAGTGCTGTCAGGGGACTAGAGAACAAAGGTGCTTCGATCACAAAAGGAGAACACGGTAAACAGAAGTTATACTGTTCATAGGTTTCTCACATGAAAAAGACAGTTGTGCGTCAGCACCATATGGATATGCATTCATCGAATGAGGTGCTACATGCATTGCAAGTGAGTAGCATTTCGATGAACTCATCTATCCGGTTTCTCACGACACATCTGATCATCAGCAGAATACTGAACTTTATTTCTAGCTGTAAAACTCAAGAACAAACTGTTGAACCACTTGATTATCAACTCAAAGTCTTTTACGAAAACACCTAAATTTTGTTTCGAATTGCCTATCTGGTTCGTTGGAATCCCATTTTGCCCAATAAGCATCCCACGCTGTCCCCAGGAATAGTAGTTTAATTTGTTTTTCACTTATATGCTTGATTATAGGCGCTCACCCACGTTTACTTACCAATGGATGTATTCTGTTCGAACAACTCCGCACAGATATTACATGAATAGGAAAAATGCAACGCGAATTCATGGTGATACATACTGAAGACAATAGCGAAGGCGAACTGAGAGCCAAGGATCAGAAAATTCTTGACTTATATGCGTCTGCCGTTTTTCTATTAGTATACAAATCGATCGAATCAAACACCTGTTCTCAACAATCATGCCAATGAAGAAAACCGGAAAAAGAACATGGTCAATTACCACGGACATATTGAACTTACTATTTGGTTAGCGGTGGACTGAAGCTAACTTTAGGCAATGTAGCAAATCCCAGATTGCTATGCCATTCGTAACGATCGGAGAGTACCAATCTACCACAATGATTATTGACCGCGTGCCGAAGCAAGTGCACATCACCGACCAATGCTAATTGGGGATCGCCAAAAAGCAGATCTATGGCAGCAGACATGTTCCATGCTTGTCGTCCGTGGGCGAGATATTTCTCGAAAATTCGTTGATACGGTGTTCCCGGGGCAGCGTGCTGTGACGGGCGATCAGTGGAGGAGCGTTGAAAAGATCAGCAATGCAAATGAGCGAACAAAAGAAAAAATTATAAGTCTTATGTTGGCAACACATTTCTTGAGAGTGCACTGATTGGCTGTTTTGTCCTGTTTGGGACACGTCCACAGTTTCCACATTCTGTGACTCTGCAAGACTCAAATCCATTTATTGAACTGTTTCATTCGGTCCATGACATAGTTCATCCTTTCCAACTTAAGTGAGTTACTATCTCCACACAGCTCAGCGCTTGTCTCAATGGGAGAGGGCTCAGATGAGGGTTAATTCTGACAATAAAATACTTCCGGAACAATAAGAAAAATATTTTATTTTTATCTCAATTAGTTCTATATCAAGTACCCAATTAAACCGAAGTTCCGTTTTACAGAAATAAAAACGAAAGTGAATGACTCAACTCGTTTTATTGGGTTTCATAAAAATACTCACCTTCTTTGTGACCGATAATTATAAGGCCCCTTATCATCGACTGCATTCCACAGATCTGTGTCCTTCCAACTTCAAGTAAAACCGTTGTAACTTCGAGAGAACTCATCAATCGCATTCTACTGGGAAACAAAAAATGATTGATAATTCGGCCGTCACATATCAACAATGGGCCGATCGGCCAGTCAGAATGAAGGGAGAATCAAACGAAAGTAATTCTGAATGGGTTGTGGAGCAAGGCTGTACGTCTGAATGGAGTGGAGCTTGACAGTTCATCCACCCCCTCCGGGTACATTTTGTCCTTGGCCGTTGATCGAATGAACTACGGACGGGATTAAACGAATCTGCCGGTCTGCCGGTCAAGGAGCCCAATCACGTAAAGATGGATCATTAAACTGATCACCAGGCTCAGGTGTGAATGTTTGTATGATTCACTAAATGAGTGAGATCAACCTAAACCCTCAAAAGCCTAGGGAAAGAATTCTTTTGCGATCGAGTGCCTCTCAAATAACACAGCTACTTTCGAACCAAGAGCGGTTACCTGTATACTTCCAACATAAATCAGATATTCGCTATTGGCGCTAGAATACAGTTAAAAATTAGCGGTGATTCACCTCAACAGAAAGATTAACTTGGTACTGAATTACTAGCTCACAGAAATTATATCTTTTCACTGCACTTCTGCATTTTAGTTACAAAGACACCGACAACGGCATGAAATCAACAGATACCCCCTTTTTTTACTTAGCTTTACCACACAGGTTCCAATCCCTGTGGCATTATTTCTCATTCCAGTCGCATCTCTCCCCAGTTTGATCATATCTGCCCAATAGTTAAATTACTTATAAGAACGACTTGCATTGATCTATGATTCTGCAAGTGGTGGCATTTTTCACCGGACGGCTCAAAGAGTATTGATTTGAGATCAGAAGATTATTCGACCTCCGTTTAGATTATTATTCATCAGTGATTTTCCCATGTGAGGATGAGTTGAGTTCATGGAAAAACTAATGAAAAATCTTCTGCTCAAAGTGTCTATTGAAGGCAAGTCTATTCGTTTTTTGATCTCTGCGTTGAGATTTATCTCAGATTTACTGAATTTCTTTCCATCGCTAGGACTGCCTACATTCCGTCGACAACAAGTTTCATCCCCAAAGAAACACATTGCACCACCAATGTAAACAGCTCCGGTAAGCAGTTGCATATAATGGCATACTCGATATCGATTATCATCGTCTAACTGACCAATCAAAATCATGTTTTCAAGGAAGTCGCGGAATTCATACATTCTCGTCCATAGCCAACTCGACCAACGGTAAAGGACAGAACATCCCGAAGGGGGTGGACAAGCTGCAAAACCCCACCCCACCGAAAGATTAATCCATGTTACGCAACTCAATCGCAGATTCCTTTTGTTTGATCAAGGAGGAATCTGTTCATTCCGATTGGACGGGTTTTTTATAGACCCGGTCCAATTGGTGACGTGTGACGACCGAAGCACTGATCACTTTGTTTTTCCAATAGAATGCGAGTGGTGGATTCACTTGAAGTTACAACGGTTTCATTTAAAATTCAAGAGGTTAAGCGTGTCGAATTTGAGTTTGATCTTCACTATAGAGTTGATTAGTGGTGGGTAACGTAGCCAGGAAACCATCTCTGGTGTAATTCCAAGACCGATTGCATGGAAGATGTGAGTATTTTAATACAGAACTAATTAACTTGCGTTCCCAAACCACCCAGGTATGTTTGTCCAAACGAGGCTCAGGATAGCCCACAAGTTTAACATGGGATAATGAAGGGATGAAACAGTTAAAGTCGGTAACTGTAGTCGAACACATCCCATTTTCTGTGGGCAAGTCTGTTTTCCGAGACTAGTCCGCTGATGCCACATTCATGGAAAAAAACACGACTGAGTATTTCGATGAGGTCAATCTGTTTACGTCACTACGGGACATGAGTAAGAGAAGAAGTGAAGAATGACACTGGTCTGAATATCGCTTGTTCTGGTGGGAAGCGTTAATGACAAATAGAGTTAGTTTCCCATTTTTGACTAGAACCGCATGAGATGTGACTCATTTGCAAATAGATTCGTAGGGGTTATTAATTCACACTTGAAAGGAGTCAAATCAACTGCATCAGAACAAACTTAATTCAATCAAAGTGATCTCCTTAGCGCGAGCTGACTGAGACGTCGATATCAACCTAATCTATGTCATAGTAAGAAACAGCGGTCAATGAACATGAAATGTGTCATCATATTACATATGTTAAACTCTCAAGATGTTCTCTTACTCCCACGTCTGTCTTTGATTCACCTTTTCTGCTTCCTCGTTGCTTGTCTCAAGCACGCCCTGATTTTCTCACTTAGCTAATTTGCCCATAGAAATAATGCACTCAATCAGACATGAAAACAATCCGAGCTACTACTGAATTATTTAGGAGTGTTTCAGGGACAGTTCTTGAACCATTCTCGTTCTCTATTTATTCCAGTGATTTTTCAATGAGCCCCGAGTAATTTAGTTGAATGCATGAGCGATGTAGCCCTTTGCCAGGCTACTCACTCCAAAACATTCTTCACTAAAGTAGATGAATTTCTGGTTTTCTGTTTTAACTGAATCTTCTCTTGTAAGAGTCTTGGCAACTCTCCATTCAGTTTGAGCCTGAGTCTGGACGTTTTGGTTGGTGATATTTGTATTTTCCTCTCTTGCAGATTACCAGTTAACCCTACCTATCGGGAACCTCTTACCTGTTGTCAGTATATCTTGCACCAAGACTTTGCCCATAGTCGGTTGCCTGATCTACCTATTCACGAGGGACATCCTGCCGTAAATAAATGCCCAAGCATATTATAACATCAGGTTATCTTATTGATTCAAACTTGGTGTGACGTGCGCCAGTCGTCAGCGCTCTCAGTGGACATCACTTCTTAAGATATTAGGATCGCCTCCTTTGTCACGTGGTTTAGTGTGTGACGCATTCACACCATTTGCTCTCTTATATTTTATTATTTTTACTTCATTTTATTGAGTATACGAAGATACAATTTTTCAGGAAGGACAGCGATCAATCAAAGGGCTGCCATACGACACATAATGGGGAAAGTCAGGCGGCGGTGGTGGGATTCGAACACACGTCCTCCGAAGTAATAATTGGTGATGTTGCCAGCGGGCCACCACCGCCCAGATAAAATTTCACTTATTGACTGTTCACGAGTTATTCCTTTTCTTATTTATAGTGCTCTTATCACTATCACCGGTTTTCTTGTAAAGTGGCCATTGTTCTACCTAAGAGTTTCAACAAATACTATAAAATCAAGCAACAGCACCACCATCAAACTAATAAATCGCCGGTAAAATACCGAACTCCTTGTGCCTCCATGATTATACTCTTGTTAACTCCATAAAGTAGTTTTCTTCAGTTCACACGACATTCCCGGTGATGATACAATAGAAGTATCAAATCAAAGCATCTCAGCTACTCGCTTCTCTCACCTGAAACATGCTATAGATTGCGGTCCCACGAATCAGTAGGGGTTGCATTTTTTTGTGTGCGGCTAATTCTTCCAAAGTGTTTATCGGCACTTGAACCACTTCTTTCGTCAGATGTGCTGTGATATCGGCCTGCCAGAACGAGTGCATCAGGATGATCAAGGTCCAGAATAGCATGAGCACAATTCGACCAGAATTGATGGTAGGAATTCGTTCGGCACCTGCCCGCAAATGGGTCATCATCAAACAGGGACGGTATGCAAATTTATGAGACGAGTTGAAACGGATATTGTGAATAGGAGAGTTTTATCCGATACGAGTGACGGAAACTGAGCACGTTCCGGAGGTATGGGGTTTTCATATTTCACTATTTTTCTGTAACTGGGAGCACCAAAAGGACACGTGGACGTCATAAAGTGTGTAAATGAAGCATAAATGGTCCGTTATTATATCAAGGTATACAGATCATGAACAAAACTAAAGATAACCGTAAGCAACAACATCAAATCGGCTACTCCTCGTTACCACTTAACTTAATTGGCAGAAATCAAATATCATGAACTAATCATAATCTGCTCCCTTTCAGACACGGGTAATTTGGGTTATAAAATAATTTCGGTGGCTGACCTTGTGTCTCGATTCCAGGCATTCATTTCTAGATTAGAGATCCAAGATTAAGGACAGACTTACCCTTTCGCTAAAAACCGGCATGACTTACTGTGAACCTCATCATGAGCAGCGCGTTTTCACTCCGAGGCACAACATATCTCCTCTTTCTTCGAACAAATTCTCAGAACACGAAAAATAAAGAATGCCTTGAGCAAACAAGATCGCTTTTTTAAAACAATGTTCCGTATAAGGAATACGGGTAGGAGTTATTGAGTGTTACATCACGGCGGTTTTGACACGTTTTCCTCTATCCACGATGAGACAACCAGAGTTATATCAGTAGTGATTAATTCAAGTATGGGGGCCAGGAATATGGTGGAATTAGTGCATTTTGCATCGTATGAATTATTAACTAATACTAATAAACAGAAAATTGCCGCTAAAATTCCCCACAAGACCACAGCTAAATCAGCTTCTGTGATCGACGGATCTTGTTTACTTCATTCTCTAAACGGACTGGACCAACCAGAGAACTCCACACAACTCCACAACACTCAAGGATCAATAAAGCCAGACGAATATTCGTACTTTCACACCACTTATATTTCCATTCACCGAAGACATATGGTCGCCTACACTGTGTTCTTTACAACTGGGTATATTTTGTGATTCGTAGTTTCATTGACAGTGTAACTTGGACTGGGGTTGAACTATCCGCAATCGAAGTGACAGGCTTGAGCAACCACTCATCTTTATCAAATTAACGCGATAAAGTTTGTGTGTTCATTTGTGATATTGAACTCATCAGTAGTAAACCACCATTGCTAGAGAGACACAAAAATGGGGTGCACGAGAATAAACAACCCCCTGTACTCCTTTCTTCTTGTGTATGAACAGAGAGAGTGTATGCGTTTTTTACTAAAACAATTGCAAACATCAACTTACTTCTGAACAGAAAACATTGAATATAGTTCCATATGATGTCAGACAACGACTGACTGGGTCGGTCCACATGCGTTTGATTTGATCTCTCTCTAGTCATGAGATTGAATCGCCAGAACATGAATGCCACCGAACCAGCCACGAAACTGCTTACGATCAGTAAAATCCACACTCCCGGAGAAAACGGTCGCACCACGAGAAACATTCCGCTATTACTCGTGGACGGGGATACCAGAATGCCAACACTGTCATCCATAAATGAGGTGAGAAAATGAATCACTTTCGAACGTTCCTCCGTAACAGTCAGTGGAGTCGCGATTAGGTCAATACGCTATAAGATTAGAAAAATAATTTCCTACATTGAGGGAATCATTTGAGAGACAAAATCTTAAACGCGCTGTGCAGTTGAACACTGTACTCTAATTATCTCATATTATAACAAGCTTATATAGAGTGAACGTTTGAACGGAATTTACAAAACAGGCATACTTTGCACATCTTTCATACAGCTAGATCCGTGTACCCTGTATTTGAGTATAGAATTTGCCAAAGCATATTGTATTACAACCCTGAATCAGTTATATGATAGTTAGTACTTCTTTTACGGACCCACACAGCAGAGTATTAGGTGTACTAACCTTATGATTATCTACAAAAATCCGCTTTAAGGACTTATTACATGAAATGTCTCTGCATGCTAGGGAATCAGCGTTGATTTGACAAAGTAAAAATAACCAGTTTGAAAAACGTCAAGATAGTGGTTCAAACCGATTATCACATATCCTGTTGGCTTGTTTCTCTTATATTTAACCGATGAAAAAATTGCACTCAGCCCAAATCAACTGCTGGTATGTGTTCACGTGAAAAGCGGAAAGGACACAAATTCACATGATTAGTTTTACAATACATTTCCACCGAGGTATGAATATAAATTTGTGAACTGAGCAATTCATTTTTGGCAAATGTTTCAATCAGCTTGACAAAGTATGTGAGTAATATATGGCTGAGCTTGAGGTGAAGAGGAAGATTGAATTCATAATGTTCACGTTTTGGACAAACAACGATCGGATTTTGATGAACGGCTTTTGGCAAAAAGTGATTGTCACTTTGATTTTGTATTACATACTGTTGTGTGATGAAAAGACCTGCCGATCACCCATAATAACCAGCAACCTAAGTTAACTAGTATGGTTAAGGGGCTATATGTAACCTCCCACCTAGAACTGACGTATTATAGACCCGGACGATCTAGCACTAACGTTAGCTGGTGTTAGTAGGATTCAAAGTATGCTACTGGCCTCAGATAAGTCGAGCTTATAAACAGTGATTTAGCGCAAAACTGTCTTACTCAGTCCCATCATCCCAGTTTATAGGATTTCATCATTTTCGCAACTTCGTTTTCGGGTATTTATGTGCTATTGTAGTGTGAAACCGAAACTGACTGACGTCCAGTAATTGAATGTCGAACTGTCGCTGACAACCACCTCTTCCCCTTTCCTTTTACAGGCTGTACAAGTTGCGTGACAGTTGGAAGCAGATCAAAAAGATCGCCCCAAAACAGCTTCTTCCACCCCATCGGGGCTCCACAAGTTCCAGACGATGCCGTTCGGACTAGTTAACGCACCGGCTATGTTCCATCGATTAACGCAACAGGCCTTGCAGGGTCTGATCCAAAACCAATGCTTGGTTTATCTGGATAATATAATCGTCCACAGAACCACGGAAAAGAACCACTTGGATAATCTAAAAACAGTCATAGACAGACGGAGGAAGATAGACCTCCGCCTGAAACTGGAAAAATGCAGCTTCATACAGTCTAAGGCTGCACACCTGGGATACACCATTTCGTCAACAGGAATCCACACAGACCCGAAGAAAATCGAACAAGTACAATCCTGGCCTACACCACAGAGTCTGGAGGAAGTTAGAAGCTTCTTACAATTAGCTTTCTACCCCAGACAATCCATTGCCAATTTTTCACGAATTGCGTCACCCCTACACTCTATGGTGGAAACGAACAAACCATTTAGATGAAACACCGAGTACGAAAGGTCATTTCAAGCACTCAGAAAACTCCTTTTTTCAGCACCCATTTTGGCACTTCCCGACACATCTCCGGCTGCTGAACAGTTTATTCTTGACACAGATGTCAGCGACACTGCAATCGGCGCAGTACTGTCACGAATCGGGCGAGACGGTAAGAAACAAGTTATAGCCTATGGGAGCCGATACTTGAGCAAAAGCGAAAGGAACTACTATACCACTCGAAAAGAAATTTTGGCAATGGTGTTCTTTCTGAGACACTATAGGCACTATCTAGTCGGCCGCAAATGCATTATCCGTACTGACTACCAATCCCTTAGCTGGCTACAAAATTTCAATGATACTGCAGGTCAAGCGGGGAAGTGGCAAGAAATAATTCAGGAATACGAATTCGACTACTACCACAGACCCGGAAAAAGCACACCAACGCCGATGTGCTGTCGCGACACCCTTCTCGCCACCATGGAAATGGTCCAACCTGCATCAACCAATACATAGCAATAGTGTGGCTGCAACGGGCGGAATACGGGCGTTGGCTAACAATCCAGGCAAACAGCCCAGAAACAGCGCTCATCTACGACAGACTTCTCTCAGACAGTGACCGACCAACCAGCCGTGATATGGAAGGAAAAAGCTACGAGAGCCGGTACCCTTTGTCGATGTGGAACCAGTTGAAAATTGTGGAGGGAGTGATATTTGTCCACTACGGTCCGGACGACACATCACGGATAGTGGTACCGCAGACACGAATTCGCGAAATTCTGCAAGACCCACATACAGAGTTAGGTTACGCGGGTATCAACAAACTGGAGTTTGCAGCTAGACAACGCTTTTGGTGGCCGCACTCACATAGGGACGTCGTAAACTTCTGCAACGCATGTTAACTCTGCGGCAGTCTCAAAAATCGGTCCCACAGTAATCGGACACCACTCCAAACAATCACTGCTGAATACCCGAATAAAATGGTCTGTGTCGACATAATCGGGCCCCTGTCGGACACGCTAATGAAGGACAGATATAGGTATTGACCAAACTCGTGCACCATCCTGATTTTCATCACATTTGTTCCTCTTAATGCTTCGTTTTTCCAACCTCATTCACGGGATTGAATATGATATTGCCCCACATCAGACGCAACATACCTGATACAATAACCACTTATGTCACTGCTTCTGTTAGCCATGTGCCATTAAAATATACAATTTAGCGTTTTTGACGACGGTTGCTGGCGCATCAGTTGTAAGATAACAAAGTCACAGTAGAGAATGTAACTGTAATTTAATCATTAAAATGACTCGTGGACTTTATACAGGTACTGTGTTTTCATCGCGTTCGTGTTTCATTTACCCTCCTTCATTTTTTGAGCACTGCAGGCAGTCGCTTTAGCATGGAATCCACTAAGTTGACTACCAAACAGATTTTGCAAGTTTCCTTTAATACACCGCACACCTTTACCACTGGCGACCAATAACAAGGTAGCTAACTTATCCCTGTTTCAGATAGAAGGAAATTTTTTCGATTAAATTAAAATCCCAGCTACTGCGCGGAAATAGAACGTATTTGACATTGAACTTGACCCCCCTAGAAACTGTATGAACGTGAAAAAATAATTTAGAGTATCAAGCTTGGATTAGCCCATTCGATTGTTCAGAGGCACCAGGCACTCTTGATGGTTCTCGGTGTGGGTTTCAGGACGAAACAGCTGTCCAGTGCTCTTTGTTGGTTATCACAAACATTTCCATCGCATCTAAGTGAAAAAAATAATATTTATTGAAGTCTAACCGTTTTCTACCACCAACCTCAAGCGAGCTGATATGTCAACCTTCATGTGCGAAAAGTATGACTTCCTCGAATACACGTTGGGAGTGACAGTTATCAATTTATTTAAGCAAGCATATTTTCGTTAATTTGCTCATTTACTGTGCATTGAATGAAAAGAAATAAGCGATTTAGAATACATGTGCTCAACTTAATAAACACTCTCAGGGGACAGGAATCATCTTTTTAAAAGAATGAATTCCTATGCTGCTTTGCCTAAATAGTTTCTAAATCTGAGCTGTAACTTTTGAACTACTACAAATTTTATCGCGACACTCAAGGTCGCGTAAATTCAAACGGTGACAAATGAATTAAGAACATATATGTCGGAGATAAAGTCGGTACTAAATACACTGTACTCACAGCCATCTGTATATAAGTATGATATTGCAAGCTGAAATGGATTTCCAAAATGGGGGAGATGTTTGCTCGAGTTTGGTCAACACCTGTACATTCTTCTACTGGATGACTACTTCACTAAATGGTGTGAGGCCACACTCCGGAAACAAGCGGACGCTGTGACTGTAACAGACGCCATACTCGACAGATGGATTTACAGATTGGGTGCACCCGGACAACTGCACTCAGACCGTGGATCGAATTTCGAAAGCACTTTACTGAGGGAAGTGTGCAAAGCCCTGGGCATAGACAAGACGAGAACAACGGCCAGGTTGAAAGAACAAACCGCTCATTGAAATCCCTGCTGAAGGCCTTCACATACACTAACCCCAGAGAGTGGGACCGCGTACTGCCACGCTGCCTTCTGGAGTATAATAGCAGGATCCAACGATCCACGGGTCCGACATCACACTTCCTGTGGACTGGCAGAGAGATAAGACTTCTGAGTGACAACCGACTACCAACGATCGACCACCAGCCACTGATGGTCACAGAGTATGTATCGAAGATGATCGACTCACTAAGAACAACGAACTAGATGGCCCGCAACCACTTCGAAGCATCGCAGAGATACCAGAGGGATTATTACGACAAGAAGTGCTTTGGAGCCCCATTACGAGAAGGTGACCGAATATGGTTTCACAAGGTACAGACAACTCCTGGAGTACCAGCGAAACTATATAAAGAATGGCACGGACCCTTTGTGGTAGAACAAGTACTATCAGAAACAAAGTGGCATTCGGGAAGTTGGATCGACACAGCCAAGCTTTGTTGCACACTTCAAACAACTCAAACCATACCTACCACACACCACGCCGGAGACAAAAAATAGCGAAAAGAATTTGAGCCCGCCGGAGGTTGCCGTCGAAGCAGAGGTACCGATTGAGGGAGGAATCGCTAGGACGTCGAGGATGACGCTTTCGGGAGAAGGGGATAGTGTAATGTGAAACCGAAACTGACTGACGTCCAGTAATTGAATGTCGAACTGTCGCTGACAACCATCTCTTCCCCTTTCCTCTTACAAGCCGTACAAGTTGCGTGACGCCCAGCACAGTGATACAAGACACTGAG